AGCGTCGTAATCTCTTGTTAAACGCACGTAGGCCTTCTTTTTACCATCAGGCCTGATTAAAGTATTTACTTTTAAAACATCAACGTCATATAGTTTTTTAACCGAAGATTTAATATGGTATTTATTAGCACGTGTGTGTACAATAAATACCAAAGTATTGTTATCTTCAATCTTCTTCATAGCCGCTTCAGTCGTTAATGGAAATTTGATGATATTGACAGCATCCATACTATAAAAATTGAAATTAGAGTATTAGCTTAAATACTGTATTCAATAATTGAATACACTAAAATTAATGTATATCATAGTAATTTTAATACATCATTTTTAAGCATTAATTATATTTACCGATTTCTATTTGGGACTGATTTACGCGGGTATTTTGGATTTCTGGGTGGCCTAAATGTTTTAGGTCTGTGAAAATGCACAGAGGTTCTAATTTTCCGAACTCTGGATCCTTGTACACCTTTTAAAATCTATAAAATATAATATTTTAGTTAAATATATGAATTGAAATTAAATTAAATACACTAATTTAATATTTCTACATCAGTTTGTGTTAATAAGCAATTTTCATGGAATTCAAAGAGATTCCCACACAATAATTTCATCATTTTTTTAAAAAGTGAATATGATAATCTGATAAATTGTTTACACATTATATGAATGCTATAAATTTTTACATTTATATATTAATTGTAAATCAATATTAAAATTATTAAAAATTAAATTTGACCTTTTTCTGAGCCTTGAGAGCTTTTTGTAAATGTGCTGCGCTTCTACCTTTGGGTGTTTTTTTATGTCCTTGAACATTTTTTTTTGGTTTTGTAACCACAGGCTTGGTAGTAACTGTTTTTGAAGTAGGCTTGGGTGCCGGTTTTGCACTTGGTTTTGGGGCGGGTTTGGCGGCTGCTGCTGCTGCTGCTGCTGCTGCAGCAGCCACTGCTTTTTTAGCCGCAGCAGGTGCTGGAGCTGCCTTCTTGTCTGATTTTGAAACTTTAGAAGACGAAGAAGTTGCCGTTGCTGGCTTCTTTTCTGTCTTTTTCTCCGACCCCTTTTTTTCAGCGGATTTACCACCTATAAAAGAAGAAAGGAGTAAGGATGAGTACCTGCTTTTTATTTTGAGGTTATATTAATTTCCATAATATTTTTATTGAAATGAAACAATTGCAAAATTCTAAAAGTCATATATATAATTAAATAAGATCATTTTAATACAATAATTACTAAAATTAAAATAATGAAATTAAGTTATGCGATAAACAATTGTCGATAAAAGAAGACCACATGGCTAAACAGATTATTACTTTATAAAAGCATTCGGAATATTAAAACAATTGAAAAGTTTTAATTGTAAAGTACAAATTTTTTTTTATATATAAATATTATTTTTTTAAATCATTTTATCCTGATAAATTGAATTAAAATTACCTGCTTTATCCGTGGACTTAGGTTTCGGAGCCATTTTGGTATAAAAAGAGTTTATTAGTCAAAACTACCGGAAGACATCTAGCAGAGTACGATGTACTACGTGATTCGTTGAAACTGTCGTTCAGACATAGTTTGCTTTTCCTATAATATCGTCGTTATAATCGATGTCAATGTTTATAATTATTCAAATAAATAATATTTTTGTTTATATTTGAAAGAACTTTATAGAGCAATAAGTTTGAGAAATCAATTATTAATTACTGCAATACTATTCAATCATATAAAACATATTTAAAAAGAGTGTCATAAGTAATTTGTTTCATTTAATGGTGAATAGATTCTTTTTTCTATAAAAATAAATAAAATATGTTTTAACAGGTAAATAATGAATTTTTACATATAACGTCAACAACTGATATTGGAAGAAAATTTCAATGAATAAATTTTTAATAAAAGTTTTTGAAATACTGATTAATTAAAAAAATATTTGTTTATTAAGTACATATATACATTTTTTACAATTTATAAAAAATATTGGTATCTTAGAACATGATAGAAAATATAAAAATATAATAGTTAAGGTTGTGTTAATAAATTACATGTAGATGAAATATAACGAATATTAATATTCTAATTATATAAATGGATTTGAAATGGATTCCAACCCATCGGTTGGACTAATAAGTATTATTGAAGTTCCTCGACATACTACAAGACCCAACATTCTTGTATCTTCAACAAATTTGTATGGATCATTAGAATCTGTGGCAAGATATTAAACAATTTAATGTTTATAGCAGAAGAAGAATATTTGTTGAATTTATAAAATATTAAGAGAATTAATGCCCAACATATTCTTATAACAATTTAAAATTAATCATTAATTAGAAAAGATATTAAAAAAAAAAAAAAACTCATTTGTTGGCACGTTTGTTTAATATAAATTATTGAAAACAAATAAGAATAAAATATATTTGTAACCTTGAATATTTTCAATTGTGTCATCCAATACAAGATTCAACAATGGGTCATAGCCTTTGAGAATTCCAATTGCTTCTCTGCCGCCAGCAAATTTAACTCTAATACTTTTTTCTAAATATTTTGATAAATCTAAAATACTTGCTTTCCTTTTTACCTCTTTATTTTCACTTTGAACATGCTGCTGTAATATTTTTATAATCACAAACAAGTTAAATGCTTACAATTAAATTTAATTATTTTACAAATTGTTATAATAACATTGTTGCAGGTTAGAATATTAAATTTATATTTTACCTTTTGTTTTACAGTCTGAAAAATAAAAACCACGAGTAATAAAAAGATCTTATTTTGTATTTTATAGAAAGTAATGTGTTCTTTTTACTTACGGACATTATTTTTAAAAATAACGATAATAACGGATCTGACAAATGATTGAAAATGTGTAATTTCTTGTCTGCGCGCGCATTTTACATTTTTAAAAAGTAATCGAAAGTGTGATAATACGATCGTTTGATAATATTTCCAAGTAATTCATGTAAATCTTAGAAATCCATATTTATACGATGTATGTAACAATGATAATATATTTTTGGAAACTTAGTAATGTTATCGACTATTATTTCATTGGAAAAAAAAAATTTTATTTCTGAAAATAAAATAGTCCGCTTGCTGTATTCTTTATTATATTATTTATTGTATTTTTATCGTATTTGTTTTCATGGTGGCACAGACATGTTATTCGTACTACACTATATTCCAACAAATAACTAAATAATTCAAGAATAATTTATTTACAAAAATCTGTATAGTGTTAGTGGCTTTGGAAAAATGAAATATTTATCAATTTTTTTATATATATATTTTCTTTACACATATTATTTACAGTACTGTAAAAATATTCGGGAACTGTTATTATTTTTTTGATTTCATTGAATGTCAATTTTCTATTTTTTCGATTCAATATCTAAGCTAGTGATAAAAAAAATAATACAATTAAGATGGACAATAAGTCTATTTTATATGGTACTAAATTTTAAATATTTATAAATTTTATATGAGTTATTATATGAATAATAGTTCTTATTTTGTTGTAACAAATTACGTTTCATGTAATTGCAATGTATATATTTCCATTTACATATACATTAAATATAAAAATTATTTAATTACATTTTTTTTTTTTATAATGTAAAAGCAATCTGTCTCTATAATAAAAGATCGTAATATCGTAATTTAAAAATATTTTATTTATTAATAATTTTATTTACGAACTTAACTTTTTAAAAATACTTACAAATGAGAATTAATATTACGATGATATTTTAAGATTATTAGTGCTATTTAGACTTAAATTATCTATAAAGAAAACTCAAATATGATTTTGATATTTTACATATTCATTATTTGTTGTTTATGAAATATATATTTCTTATTAAAATATAAATTAAATGATTGAAAATTTTTTCTTTCTTAAAGTAAAATGTAAGAAATGTACAAATTTTGGAAAAAATCGTCCAGTAGTTTTTAAGAAATCTTATTTGATTTTGAAAATTCTATTTCAAGATAAATTCGTTTAAAGTTGTGAAAATCAATTGCTTCAATATGTAAATATAATCCTAAGGCTTTAGTGATTTTGTATTCAATCCATTAAAATTTCAGATTAATATCTTTAAGATTATATATTTTAGTGGAGCAATTTTTCCGTATTCTTAGATCTTAACTTTTAATCACCGAATAATTAACTGTAGATTTTTTTTTCTAATAAATACCAATGTGAAAGTATACGAGTGTATTTATGTATAATAATTATAAGTATATTTATAAAATAAGAATATATACATTTTTCCATTCCATTCCATTAATATATACAACAAGAATATATACATTCATCAAGTATGTAGGGGTGTTGCATTCACCCAATGCTTTCCAAGATTTTTTAAAACATAAGGCATCCGACCATATTTCTAAAATATATCATTTTCGTGTTTTTTTTTGTTTTTTATTATTTTTTTTTATTTTAGCTGTATATTCAAATTATATAATTAAATTAATCTCATTAAATTAACAATAACAGATTGGAGAAGAATATCAGTAACTTTTACGTATAATCATTATTATTTCGTTTAAATACTATACTTACATTCATACTTTATATTGTATTTCGTTTATTAATTAGTTACAAGATTTCATTTAATTATTTAAATTGTAAATGTAATTTAAAAATTAAGATTGAAATAACTTGGACAAATATAATCATATAATTTTAATGCTCACTAACAATGAATAGTGTGCATGCATAGGAACGAGTCCCTATAATCATCAAGTATTCCAATTATTTTTCAAATGACCTATTAAATTAAATAATAATACAGGATTTTTATATAAATAAGATAATACAGGAATATTAACAAAGAACGCGTACGCTATTCTACGATACGCTATGGTACGATACTAATAAATGGTTTGATTGAAGAAGCAAAGGACTTTAAACAGTTATCTGCTAAACTAGCTATACATTCTTTTATGTAATCAATGAATTTTAAAAATAAATTTCAATGCATATACGCATGCATGCAAAAGCACTGACTTAATAAGCAGGTTCAGGAGCAACCTATCTCGTAACGTAAATAACAATCATGATAAATCCACGCAGGTCGTTTCCTTTTTTCATGCTTTCTGCTTCTTCCCCCCCCCCCCCCCCCCCCCCCCTCGTCCTCTTACACACACCGTTGTGTGTGTGTGCATGTGTGCCTGCGCCCTCGAGCGTATATGCATAAGCAAGTGCGTGCACGTGTGTTGTGTATGCCTACATCCGAACTTGGAAATGATAAAGTTCACGTCATTTGACTAGGGGCACCTGCCGCGGCAACCGAGTTGTTTTCCTGACGCCGTAATCGCGTTCCCATGCGAGCTATCCTCTATTGTTTCAGTTTTATTTTCATTGGATTTCTACTTCCGCTTATTGTGTTGAATGTTCATTAGTGAAAAATCGCGAGTGCCTGAAATTCAATTTATTTACCGGGATGATATTTCCCATAAGTGTTCGATGCGCTAAGGGTGAGATGTGCCAATAACTTTTGCTAAATAAAGAAGAGCTCAGAATTAAATTTGAGCTCAGGTTGGAGATGCTAGAGAGCCGTTCTGCGATTTACAAAATGATTAATAGTGATATTAGCAGCGATCGAACGGTACAAAGTTATTCGGTTATTAACTATTGCATTTAACCTATTGCATAATTGAAGCACCATTCTTGTTTATTTATTTATTCATTGCATAGAGATTCGATGTGTGTGTGTGTGTGTGTGTGTGTGTATGCGTGTATTATATTAGTTAATGCTGATATTTAGTTTGCATTTAATCGACCTTTTATTTGAGAAAAGTTTAGAAATTAAACCAATTTAGGATTTTAAAAATTTATTGCTTTTAATATTGAAATGCATATGTACATATGCATATACATGCGCATACATATATACATATATATGATATGCCGACATGTTAACATTTAACATTTATTTAATATTTATATATTTTTGTATATTCAAAATATTTTTATAAAAAAATAATTAGCTAATGAAGTTTTTTCTTTTTAATACGTAATAATTAAAATTTTTAACTTCAAAGACAGTATTTTCATTGTTATAGAAAAATCTGCATATTCTTGTTTTACATTAAAAAGATGGGCGTTTCAAGGAGAAAAAAATATATTTATAAACATAATACGAATATATAAAAATAATATTATTCATTTTTAAAGAATTTTTAAGAATTTTTTAAAGTTATTCATTACAAAGTCATATGAAATTTATACGTATGTATATAAATAATTAATAATTTTTCTACGTCGACTATATATAATATTACATACATTTTTATGAAGAATGTTATTTTAAACACATAGACAAATTTTTATTGTACATATACTGTGTTACATATACATATAATACATATACTATACTACAATACATATTATGTGGTTTTCATTGCAGTATTATTTTTTTATATTTTTAAAGCAAGTGATATTGTAATATATTTCATTAATATATTTTGAAATACATGTTTCAGGTTAGCGTTTGTACTTTATAAGTTATTTATTTATTTAACATTTATTTATTATAGATAAGTATTACGCTAATCGACTAATATTATAGACGTTAATATTAGATCATCGTTGATAATTTGTAATATATTAGTTTTGAATTTCGCAAAAAATGAACTTATCTAATTAAATTTCGTTACGAGTAATATATTGATTTTATGTTTTTCAAGATTAATTCTTTATGAAACGACTATATTTCTATTTATAATTTAAATATAAATATAATTTGCCGTACCTTATTTTTCTCCGTAACTCAAAAGCGCAATAATATATTTTTGGGAGAATCCTAATTTTTAATAGAACTAAATTGCTCTTAGTATCAACTTATGAATGTTTTAATTAAAAATATTCCTTTTTTTTTCCTTAAAAAAAAAAAAAAAAAAAAGCAATAAATAATGGATGCAAGAATTTCATATATCGACTTGAATTGTCATTATATCGAACAATTTATTTGCTATTGCGCCTAAAAGTCATTCGATTATTTGAAATCTCGAGAGCATCAATTATCGATATTATGTTAATAAAACAAAATAACATGTAAGATAATAGTAACAATTTACGAGATTTATGAAACCATGCGTATAGATTCGAAAGTGGCCGGCACCGTACTCAACGGATAAAACATTTTACCATGACCGGGACTTCAGTGGTGTTGTACGTCGGGTTTGTGCTGCGCAACCTCTGCTTCCTCGGATTTCCAAAGTCATTGTTCTGGGCGATGTTGCTGTTGGCAAGACGTCATTAGTAAATCGGCAAGTACAATGTGATGATTACAATGAAAGATTTCATCGCGTGAATATAAATGATGCCGAGATTATGGGTTTCTTGCACTGTGCTGCTATTTCATGTGATAATGCCCATTCACTTGGTGGATACTAATGCTTATTAAATTTAACATAGAATACCGATTGTCATAATAGTAAAACAAGTATGTAATAAAGAAATTTCGTGAAAAATATTTTGGTTATTCTCGATAATTGCGATGATTCTTTTTTTCTCTCTTTTTATTTTAAATAAAAAATTATAAAAGTGCATATGGTAATTTTTAGGGCTGATCAATTTTTTTAATGTATCATTGCAATAAAAAACAATTATTCTTAATTTTAATTTAATGCCTATTCGCTGATATTATATATAAATAAAAATTTATTTATTAGCTTTCTAAATTAATAATTTTGTTTAAGTTAATAAATTAAAAATTTATTTTTACGTCACGAATGATTCTCTTATCCGACATTTTTAAAGCTTAAAGCATTTTTTCTTTTATCATAAACATACTTTTTTTTATTTTTTCTAGATCGAATTCTAAATTAAATTAATTTTTATAGACATGTTTTTTTAATATTTTGAATATAGTTTAATATATTGTTTTATGTTTAGCAGTAATTAACATTTCATTTCAATAATTCATAAACACATTTTTTTACTTATTCATATGGGTTTGCTCTTTTTATTCAATTTTTATCCTATTAATGCCGACATTTCAAAGATTTTCCACTTTATTTTCATATATTTATAATGAGGATGGATAAAATGATATATAAAATGAATCAAATAGTATTTTTTACTGAGAATTGACTGGTTTTTTGTATCATTGTATAATTATTGTATAATTATTGTATAATTATGTTACTTAAAATTAAATTTATTTCTAAAAGATATGTCATAGTTTATATACATTTCGAAAAATCTAAATAGTTATATATCTAATAATCCTAAATATTAATATAATGAGTTCGAATTTAATATTTGTGACTGAAACTATTGTTTTTTTATTGACTGTATCATCATGTTTTCGCAAATCCAATTAATCTTGTAAAGATTTTTTATTTATTTTTATTTATTGTATAACGATTATTGCCTCAGATCATGTCTTAATGGTATTGTATGATATTAAAATAAAAAGTATATTTTTATTATGTCTAGTAGTTCAAATTTATACTACTAAGAAAAGTGTTTTCATTAATATATATTATTAATATTTTTTAAATAGCAATTTAACTGCAATACAAACTAAATTTTAGGAGTTATTGCTCAGTTATTTTTATATGGAACAATTTAAGAGAAAATATTTTAATCTAATATATGGTCTAATAGTGTTTTAAGTAATGTTTAAATTTAATAATGTAATCATAATTATTTAATTGTAATCAAGTAAATTTACAATAGTATTATACCGTAATTTGTTGCTATTTTTTATATATTAACTATTTATTATTTTTAATAATGAATTGAAAAAAATTAATTAAAGGTTAAATCTTTTGAATCCGATATGATTTAAACTGCTACTGTTGGTTAAATATAAATTTAACAGTGTATTCAAATTTAAAATTCATTGAACAAAGAATGCATGTTACAATGGTTTGTTCCTTCAAGCGTGTAGTGAGTCATGCTTTAAGACATTCTAAAAAAAATCCTTACACTTTTAATCTAAAAAGAGAAGCAGTTAGAATTTTTAGTAGCCTAGAGACACTCAGTCATTTGTATCTAAAGCTTTGTGACAATTGAAAAAGAGCTATAATTCTTATTTAATGCAGTACATGATTAAAAATTCAAATGAACTCATTTGTAATTTAATTTTCAATTAACGATCATATGAAATACTTGTTTGTTATAAAGTAGATAATAATTATAAAATGAAGCATCGAATAGCAATACATTTTAATATATATGCGCGAGGTTCACGAGCATTTAGTTTTTATTTATAATTTATAGAAGACTCAAAGTGACTTTATCAGGTCATGATATGCAGTATATACATATTGGGACTATGATAAATCTATGAAATCTCAATTAACGTTTAATTGTTTCGTCATATAATCAATTTTTCTATACTTACTAAAATGTGTAAATGCTTTACTTTTGAAATACTTTACATATATGATGCACTTAGGTTACAAGTTTGTAGATTGAATTATTTTTTAATGCTTACAATGCTAATGTCACGTAATATTTGTTTACATCAATGTTAATTGAAATATTAATGAAATAAAATTAATTAGCTTAAACATTGATAAAACTATTTACTAAAATGAATTTTTTATTTGAACAATAATTATGTAGGTACGCCAATGAAATTATTTTAAAACAATTTTGCTTATTTTTTTTTATCTTGATCTATATTTTTTAATATACACAAGTCATAAATAAATAAATATATACATAATGCATGATATTTAAATTTCAGATTTTGCCATAAATCATTTGACACCAATTACAAAGCAACAATAGGCGTTGATTTCGAGGTTGAAAAGTTCGATGTTCTTGGTGTACCTTTTAATCTTCAAATGTATGTATAAAAGAAAAATGTAAACTATTTCATTACAATTAATTAAAAAAATTTTCATAAATATTAAATTCATCTTAAGCTACTTTTACGTGTTCTTTCTTTCTTTCTTTCTTTTTTTTTTTTTAAGAAAAAATAGATATAGCTTTAGTAGTATTTTTGTATCATTAGATTAAACAACTAATACTATTTTGATTTTACGTGTTATTAAAAATTTTTAAATTTCATCGAGTACAATCATTTATTTGATATGTTAATTATTTGATTTGTTAACCAACATTTAGTTGGGATACAGCAGGACAAGAGAGATTTAAATGCATCGCTGCATCGTATTACCGAGGAGCTAACGGTAATTATAAGAAATTTCATATAAAAATATTTATTGGGCCAATTATTTATGAATGAATTTTATGCTTAAAAAAACAAAAAACAAAAAAATACGCATAGATATATATATATATTTCTTTAATTTCGTGAAAGCGTAATTAAGAATGTTTGCGAGAGTTGTCAATCAGCAAAAACAGAGAAACGACAATTATTATAATTAAATGACAATATTTACAGTGGTGATGATAGTTTTTGACTTGGGCAGTTTAATGTCATTGCATCATTGTCAACAATGGCTGAGCGATGCAAATTCTTGTAATAACGGACCGTATCACATTTTCCTTGTTGGTACGAAAAGAGATTTATTGGTAAGTATAATCGAAGGTAAACATTAAAATATTGAACAAATTCAAGTAGTTGTAAAATTATAAGTAACTATGTATGTATGCAGCTCACAATACAGTCTTAATTGTATTATTAGCTGCAGTGTTGATTAAAGACAATACTTATGCGCGAGAAAGTTCGTATCTGTCGGAAGCTATTAAACGACTTAATTATACGCTGTAGCAATGATGTTTCATACACTTATTAGTTGATATTTGGGTAAAGTTAATAAAAAAAAAAAAGTATGTTTTTCATAATTGAGCCGAAACATTGGCGAGTAGATGCATATATCTATTCTTGCTTAACCACGGTACCGTTTAGTCGAACCAGGTATACGACATCGTGGAAAAGAAGGCTGTGGAAATATCACGACGAATGAGGGCCGAGCTGTGGGCTGTTTCCGCCAGGACTGGAGACGGAGTTCCGGAACTTTTCGCACGAGTTGCCGCGTTGGCCTTCAATGCCAGCGTCCTGCGCGAGGTTCAGAGCGCCCGCGTCGAGCCGATAGTCTTTGGCTCCGAGTTAATTAGTACGTGAATTTCCAAACCACTCCGGCTTCCTCCTTCGTTCACCTGCTTTTTTCCAGTTTATGTGCATGTCTGCCCGCTTCCGTTATCCTGTCTGCCCGTTAAATGCTGCTGCTACAAGCGCGACACTGAACAGAATCGCCGGGAACAAGTTTCGAAATGATCTTGTATTTTTCATTTTCAAGTTTTAGTTTAATAATTGGATTTGTTATTCTCAATCGCGGATTAATGGGGAAAAACATTGAAACCTTATTATGGCCATTTCTTCATCGTTTAAAATGTTCTGTCGATTCAAGTTTCATTCATTAATGAAATATTTGACGGACATTCGGAATTAGATTAATATCGAGTGACTGCTAGTAAACATTCAAATTTTAAATTTATACATTAATATTACAATATTTGTAACAGTTATATATAAAGCGTTACTATAATTTAATATTCATAAAAAACTTTTATTCGGTTGTTTTATTTATACTTGAACTTCTACAATATTAATATATATAATGAATGCAATTTTTTTTTAAGTATCAGATTACCTGTAGATTACTTGTACGAACTTTAAATAGTAATAGATTCATTAGATTGATAAATACATGAAATTAAGATTACTTTATTACCTATAAATATTAAAGTCATATTATTAACTTTTCATAAATATACATGTTTTATTTCATTTTTATACAAAACATTGTTAGTAAAATTATTTTTAATTTTTAGAACTTAATCGAGAAACGAAGAAAGTACGAATGAAGGATCGAAGAATACCAAAATGTTCCAATTGTCAAAATCAACTCTGAATTTAAGTGTTTTTTTAAAACAATATATTAAAGTATATTGAAACTAGAATCAAAGGCAGATTCAAATTGATCAATAATCATGTGATGTAATCATCAAATATCATTTAGTTAAGTTAGTAATTCATAATAAAGAACACAAGCGGTTTTATGTGATTTTTTTTTTATAATTATACATAAAATAATTTCTTGTAAAGATATATTTTGTAATATATTTATATATTAATATAATTGTAGTAACTAGTAACGCCTTAAATGAGATAAAGGTAATTGTACACCCTTAAGTAAACAAAATTGATACGTACACAAATTTTATATGGTATAAGTTTATTTTTAATATACATATATACATAAATAATTATACATATTTATATACATAATTATATATATATATATATACAATTATTTATATATAATCTTATAGATATACACAATTTATTATACAGAATAGACATATACAGAAATTTCTAATAATACTATTTGAATATTATAACTTACAACAAATAGTGAATGTGGATTAAATTTACAAAGTTTTTCTTTTTACTTTAAATTTTTATATAATTTTATATAAATGTTAATATAATATACGTATATGGCTTATATACGATTATAATAAACATTTTATTACAAATTAATTGTTTTGAAGAAGTCTAAAATATGTTATTTTCAAATGATTATAAATAAATTTTTATTAATTGTTATATCATGTATATAAACAATCTTTTTTTTAATTAATAGATTTATATGAAATAATATCGAGTTACCTTTTAAATATAAATAAAAACTTCTGCAGAATTTTATTGGCACTTCAATTTACTAAAAGTTTTTAATTTATACGTAATATGATTACAATATCAAGAAAATGAATTTGAAAATGAAAATAATTCAATGTCGACATAACGCATTACAGTACACTAATTAAATATAATTTAGAATTATAACAACTGACGTGCCGATAACCAAGCATAAAAATACAATAGAAATAAACTGTAGATGCATTTTTTTTTCTTTTTTTTTGTGTAAGAAATTCGTATTGATAGTCATACAATTTTCTTCTCCATGGAAAACCAATGTAAATTATAGAAACAATATGCTAAAATGTAGTGGATAAGTTTTCTATTAGGAAATATATAATATACATCATGTATTTCGTTAACAAATATAATGTGCAATCAATAAATTGATCATTAAAAATTTATTTAATTTTATAAATTATTTTAAAAATTTTAATCTACCAGGAGGTTTCTTATTACGGCTAATATCTCGTTATGTGCATGGGACTGTTAAATAGTGTTTAACAAATTAATCAGACGCATTAAACTAAGTCTGAAAAGATGAGAATGCATTATTATTATTATTATTATTATTTTATAATAGGGATGAAAAATGAGATTTTATTAAATTAGAAAAACGATAATATGAGCTACCCGTTTTGAATAAGCATTATTTTAATAATCGTTTAGTTGCTACTGATCGACGTTTTAGCCATTTGTACTTCGATTAAATGTAATTATAAGGGAACTAGATTAAATTAATATTATTTCTTATTTCAATCCATATAGCGACTATATTTTTCATATAAAATTGTTTCGTATAATTCATAAAAGAATATTTGTTGAAAAATAAACTTATTATTTTTTATAATGTCTGTAATTAAATTTTTGTTATAAAATAATTAGTATTTAAAATTATTATTTCGAATTTTGTGACTGTAATTCGACAGAATATATTTGAAATCCGAACCTAAGGTAAATACATCTTATGAATATGAGATAGAATTATATCGAATGAATTATCGTATATTGTATTAATATATCATGTTTTTTCGCAATTAATTCAATACTTAAATTTAAAATTAAAGTCTGTAGTAGCGCAATGTCAAATTTATTTAATTTTTCTAATAAGAAAATTATATTAGGTAAATTTTAAATTCTTATGATTTAATCAACAAAGGAATTATGAGCATTTGAGTAAAATACATATATGTATATATTTATATATATATATATATATATATATATATATATATATATATATATTACGTTAGAGTATTATACGTGCCCGTAGGGTTTTTAGAGTGTGGGATTTTTGAAAATGAAATGTATGATATTGTATAAATGTATAAAATTATGATATTGTATGCTAAAAAAAATTATTTTCAACAATAAGTAGCATTTATCAAATGAAATTGTAAATATTCAACCATAGCTTAATTTAATTGGAATGTGATTAAATTGAATTATTATATAAAAAGTATTTTAATATTCTTAAAGCAATTTCTCATTCAAGCTATGAAAATATTTAATTTAAATTAATAATCTAATTAATATAGAATTACGTTAATTTAAACTATAAAAAAAGATAATTTACTGATGAAATTTTCAATAAATGTTAAAATATTATATATGAAATTTGTATATTAAAAATTATTATCTCAAATATGAAATATTATAAAAAGTAAAATATATTAACGTTTTTAAGTACTTTCATTTTTTAATTACTTCAATCGAACATTAATCATGATATTTTACAAAAATATAATAATAATGATTCATAAATAATAATTTATTATATAATTTATTGTTTTCTATTTTACAATTTCATAGGAATAGAAATAAGATTATACAAGACATATTGTTCTTTTAAACGGATAATTCTCTAATGTATTTTTTCAATATGAAAATTATATAAATATCAATATTTCAATTTTTTCTTTTAATCAAACAATTTTTTAAAATATTTTTTGAAGCTGTTAAAATTAAAATATGTATATGAGTGTGTGTGCCTGAGTGTGTTTCTGCCTGTGCGTGAGTGTGTGCGTGCGCGAGTACATGTGTGTGCATCAATTTTTCAAATATCTCTCGAGGAACAACAAAATTTTTTAATATACATTCGTTATATGTTGAATTATGAGAAAAAATTAGACTATATAAGACGGAGATATTTAATTAAATATTTATGTGATATTTTTATTATTCATATCATTTAATCATTATAAATGAAGTATTTTAGATGTTGAATCTTCTGTTCGACATTTGGAAATTAAAAACGCGGTGTACCAACTTAACGGCCCAAGAAAATATTCTATCTATATCTACCACTGTTGCCGTCTCTTTCTTGTTCTTTCACTTTGTCGCTTTTTTTTATTAGTTGCTGCTGGATTCCGGTATTCGGACGAGGACGTTGGTCTCAGTGAAATACGCCGGATTATATAGAAGTAACGAACGTCTCTGTGCATTCATTTTTTTCGAGTCCCTTTGGCACATGATTTCTTTTCCTGTCCATTCTCAAGTTCCTTCATACGGCGTAGGTGTCGCAACGCATTATTATTCTCTTTCTCTCTCGTTGTCTTGAATCATCTCTCTCTCTCTCTCTCTCTCTCTCTCTCTCTCCTCCTTCCCTCCCACTCTCTATCTGTCCCTCTCCCTCTATCTTTCTTATATTCTACATTTTGTCTTCTTCGTTTTGTGTAATATACATCGTATATACATAGGTATATATACGTCGGTATATATATATATATATATACATATATATATATATATATATATATATATATACCTATATATGCATTCCTATATGTACATGTATACATATATGTGCATATATATATATATATATTGCATTCCAATATAAATATGTATATATAGGAATTCGAAAAGAAAACGCGGGCGCATATATTCACGCGAGGGCGAGGGTAAAAGAAGGTACACATGGAAAGTGATTTGACGAAAGAAAGTGTTTGTGTTTTCAACAACTGTTCATTTTCAAAATTAGTGGAGCTGTAAAAAAAGGGTGGAACTAAAGGTTTACCGACAAAAAAGATTAGATATATAAAGGTGAGTGCAAAAATATAAAACGTACGGTAATCCCTGGACATGCATGCCCGTATGTAACAAAATCGGGATGTAACGAACAATTTCATTTTAAATCCGAGCTCTGACGTTGCACCACTTGTGAAGCCGTCATTTTTCCTCGTAATATGCTGACGTCCCGGAAACTTAATGTATCACAGCGTTAATTTACGATTAAATTGACAGCTTAAGTGGTGCGGTATACTTGAAACTACATGAAAGTGCGTTTTTGTGGTACATAGTACTGGGTATTACACGTATACTCGTATGTCATAACAAATTTTCCATTCCCAAAAAATATGATACACCTCTTTTTTTTTTTTTTTAACTTGAATTTAATTTAGACTCATGTTCCGCAGAAATAATTTCTTTAAATGATTCCTCCTTTTTTTCTTTATTAATTTATAATTTTCATAAGAAAACTTGTCTACTTGTTTAAGCGGAATACAAATAACGACTCACGATGAGGCACGATGAGAGAAATAATGATGATATGTGAGTTTGTATATGGATGAATTTGTAAATCAATGTTTATTTTATTCATAAATTAAATTTTTATATTTATATTTATATATACAAATGCCTTTATAAATTACATTTTAATTTATATAAATTTTGTTTTCCTTACTATACTTACTACGTATGCAGTAAAACGTTAGATTTGATAGTTTTTTTTGAAATGATATATTTAAAAAATATTATGCTCATACTATTTATGGAAATTTGAATTAAATTGAATTAATTTCAAGTAGTATATGTGTAAAAATTATAATTTTGTTACAATGATGGTTAGTAGTTTGCTATTTATTTGTAAAAAAAAAAAAGTGTTCACTTGCATTCAACTAATTTCTAAATAGTCACAGTAAGGATTCCATTTATAATAAACATATTTCACAACTATGTAACATTTACATAGAAATATAACAGACAATTGAAAAACTGACTTTACTTAATATTTATACTCCTTTTAAATTCAAAAGTAAAAAAATAATTTATTAACGGAAAACTTATGAACTTGTCTTTAAGTTAACTTAAAACGTTGAATAATGTAATTAAAGTCAAAGTTCAATGTGAAAATATTGAAATCTTAGATCGTAATACGGTTTCATTGTTGGTTTTGGTGGCAATATAAACCTAACGAAAGATTTTAATAATTTTTTTAATTAACTTTACTGAATTATTATTATATAAATGTAATTAAAGAAATAGAGTACTTAAATAAACGATATGTGTTATACTAATTTTTATTCAAAGACTTTCACTATTTTTAATGATATATATATATATATATATATATATATATATATATATATATACACACACACACACACACACACACACACACACACACATAATATTATATATATTAGATTTAATAATATATTGTATGATGTAACATATCCAAAAAGCTATTTATAAGCCACAAAATATTTAAAGAACATATTTTTCTACAGTACCAGTCATTGTAGTTCTTTAAGAATAAATACAAAAGACTTAAATTTTAAATGACTTAAAAGTAAATATACTTATTACACATTTGTAAATTTTCTGATAAAAATCTCATTTTTCCAAATATAGAGATACGTCTCTTACAAATACAGCTTCAGTAGCATGGGTAAGATTTTTAAGAATATATGTAATCGTACTATTGAATACTAATCTTTTGATCTTCAGATTTCAGTTACAAGTTTGATATAATGAAACATTTTTAAAGAAAGTTTTTTACTAATAAAAATATTGTAGGAGCTCAGTTTAAATTTTTTATATGCATTACAATTTTTCTTAACACGTTATACTTTATTGTTTTATTTTGAAAAATAAAACTATATTTTATAAATACGTATTATTTATAATGAAATATATAAAAAATTACTTTAGTACATATGAGAGTTACAGATTTTACACATTTTAAGTTGTAAGAATGTCAAGAACATTGATATCTTCACACTACTATTAGATTGTTTTAATGTTAATTTATCAATTAATTCTCTAAAACTTAATTACGTAATACACGCTTGACATCATCACATTAAGAAGAACTTCAAATTGGCATATCATGCAATATTTAAATTTGATAATTTTTTAGTAGAACAGAATTGTGCTTTAAATTACTGTAATTATTAAACATTTTCACGAATTTGAAATAATAATTTTTCGCAATAAATAATGTTTCCAAGAATATAATTGTATTATTTTTTTTAATAACATAAATTTTAATATATGTAGATAATTCTTTAATCCAGTGCATCCATAATTTAATATTACATTATGGCATCGTCATATAATCTTATAATACACTTAATGTAAATTATTGATAAAATGATTTGTATTATTAAAAATTTCAGGAAGTATATCAGTACAACGTAATTACAATGCATTTATTTATTTTGAATGATTTTGAAAAGATATTTTATCATGTACTTAATGTATATTTTAATACAAATAAAGAACTATTTATTTAACATATGAATGAATTAATATATTTAAAGTGATGCTTAATAAATTATTTGTTAATTATATTTTTATTAAGCAAAAATAATATTTTTATATATTCATATTTTTAAAATAAGGAAATGGATTTATATTTAGTTTATCAATTTTGTTAATTTATAATTGTGATAAGCAAGTAAAATTATAAATTGAATTTAATGAAAATATAAGATAATATAATATTTAATACGAAGATAAATACGTTTGTTAGTTATATATAATATATATGTAGTTTCGATTTAAGTGGTTACATAAAGTTTTTATTAACTAGGATTGTACATGTGTATATACGTATATATATATATATATATATATATATATATGTATAATTATCTAAAATAAATTTGACGTTATTGACTCAATTTCGAATTAAGTGGCTACATAATGTTTTTATTAACTAGGATTGTACATATGTATATACGTATATATATATAGCTTTATTATTTGTTATTTATTAAATTCAAATAAAATGATATCAGTATATTTTCTTTTACGAAAATTGTCATTAATCAGTATAGATTGACATGTTTAAAATACCATAATTGAAATATTTGGAGATCTTATTTCTACTAAAATAAAAATATTGTTATTTCTTTAATGAATGCTCTCTTAATTTATTCATAATTATATTTTAATGTAATTTGTTATTTGTTTAGAACAAACCGTCGTGATATTTTTTTATTGATTGCTATTCTAGTTATATATAATATTAATAATTTTGTTGACTAAGCTGGTTGTATTCATATGAATAAATATAAATCGTAAGTAAAAAAAATCTGGTATTAGCTTAACGTGTGTTTAGATAAAAAACAAAGTTTATGCAGCAAAATAATGTATAATTATATAAATCTTTAGTAACTTCAATATAATATTTTTACTGAGTAGCAAATTAGTATAAAAACAAATAGTATAAAATTTTAAATGTATAATAATCAATTAATTATATTATATAAAAATTATTATTCAAAATGATCAAAGTAATTTTTAATTCAATAAATAAAAGTCTTTTTCATTGATTCTGATTAAATTGAATAAAAATTAATAAATTATTTTATATTCTTCACGAAGAACTTATTTAAAAGTTATATCGTAAAAATTTTTCTAATATCTTTAGGAAAATGTTTCTATTTATTTTAGTATAAAATTGCATTGTTATTATCGTTTCATTGTTTATTTTAAGACCAAAGAATGTATTTTTATAAAATCACATTATATAATATAATATTAATGTTGTTATTAGTTATAATTCTATTATTATTATCGTTTCATGATTTAGCTTAAGAGTTAAGAATGTATTATCATTGAATCTTATATAACATAATGCATTTATTATATAATATAATATTAATTTAATATTATATAAAATTATCATATATTAGTAAAGTTTATCCTTTCTATAATTAATAATTCTATAATTATTTAATTATAGCATTTAAAAAATGATTAATTTGGTTACTTTACAAGTATATTAGCTTGATAAGATAAATATTGTAAATCACATATTTACGTTATTATAATGTTTATTGAAATTTAAGATATGACAACAAAATAAAATATTCCTTTAATTGACATTGTAAAATCGACTAAATCACTTTGTTGATTTCTGCGATTCAATTTATCTTGAATTTTGTCTGTATTTTATATTTTTATTAAATTTTTAAGTGAGTTTCATTTTTATAATTCTACAAATATTAAATTTCTTGAGTACACAAATACTGATAATATCTTTAAATATATTAAAATAATAATTTATTAATCATCCAATTTTTCAAGTATGTATGGTTATGATTTTGTAATTCGAATAATTTTTTTATTATGTGTAGTAATTCAATTTTTTTAAATAAAAATTGAAAGTTTTATCATTTAGTTTGTAAGTCGAATAATAGAGTTAAGAGCATAAGTTTTGAGAAATGAAAATAATGGTGGCAAAGGTTAGATTATTTAATATGATATGATCTGCAGACAATGTTAATTTGTATTTTTATTGAATAAACACAAAAGGGTTTGATTAATAAGTAAGAGAATATTTTGTTAATTTTTTAATTCAAATTCTTAATTCGAAATTATCAATAGAATGATTCATACACGTCGGTTATTCGTCTTTTCATTATTTATACTAAATGCCTTATAACGTATTAAACAAAATATTATTTATACAGGGAAAGAATTTTTCTTGTAATAGTATATCTAAAGATTTTTTTATACCGATAATATATCACGTGTTTTTTCGCGGTTATTGTTCTGCTCAAAGGCTACGTATCTACAGACAATGAACATGAGTATAAACTTCAGAATCAGATGAATATTTTCAAAACATTCTAAGTGTATTTTTCTTCTCGTGTTATCTTATAAGATTTCTATATTATACCCACCTAGAATCAAAAATAATAATTTATCAATATTATATATATATATAATGAATAAACAAGACTAAAACACTTGTTAAAAAAAAAATTTTTTCATCCATAATTCACCCACCTATATTTATGGGATGA